CACAGACCAGTTTTTTTGTAGCACGTGCGACATATATGTTGCACTGTACAGCCCTGACTTGGCACAGCCCTTGCGACGGTACTGCCTACCCAGTTCTTAAAGGGGTCCTATTATGCTCTTTTACAATGTCTTGAATTTGTTTTGGGGGTGTACTGAACTAGAACATGCTCTCATGCTTGGTGGTTCGAAAAACGCATAATTTTTTTTACATAATTTACATTATTACAATACCTCTCTCCCCATCCTGGCACAAACGGCTCGATTCATTCCGGGTTTGATGAAGGCCGCCTTCCGAAAAACGAAATGTGATGTGCTTGGTTAGCTGTCCCAGTGCGTTGTGATTAGCGAACAGCTTAGACGGTGTTTCAGTACTGCCCCGCCCCTTGCCAAAGCAGCAAGTTCCGTCTGCTCAATACTGCCATATTAATTTGAGCCGGATTCAGACCTCGAGAATATTGAAAAAACTTGAGGCTACAGCAGCACTTCTTCTTCATCATCGTCTTGTCTGATGCACTCAACCAAGGTTCTAACCACACTGTAAAATCTAATTAGTTGTGCTTACTTAAAAAAAAGCATGCAAACCGATTGCCTTGAAAAAACTAAGTAAATTGAAATAGGAATAGTATGTTGTACTGACAAATGCTTAGTTAGTATAATTTACTAACACGAGAGTTATAGTAACTAAAAAAGAACTGTAGGGGGTACTTGATCCTTTCATTTAGGTTTACTCATGACTTAGTATAGTATAGTAGTATGTTCTCTCAAATATTTCAGTTGTATTGAAAATTCAACATTCATGATGACTGGGAAACGAGTGAATGCAACTAGTGAAAGATAACTGCAGACATGGAGGAAATGGGTGAAAAGTCTATTAAGACTCTTTTTCTTTTCTTCTTCTTCTTCTGTTGTTATGTTGCACATTAGCAACATATTAGTGCACTGCTGCCTCTCACTGCTTTATTAATGCCATTGGAGGTAAACTATTGGATTTTACAGTGCACGACCTCACCCCTCCTCACCCCCCAACCATTAGAATTTCCATAGGCGGGAATTATTTTAATGATATTCTAATGGGACGCTTTGTGATATCACAAAACCCGGAAAACAAACACTGTAGTCCAAACGAGCCATTCGTTGTAGTTCTTGAAAAGGGATTTTTTTTAAACGAAATTTCTCCCTTTGGAGTGGACTTTGAGATTTGTAAGTCTGAAGATCTTTTTTATGCCCAAACATACACACTACACACTGACTAAAATTCAAAAAGTGAAAAAGCATAATAGGACCCCTATTTGTCAACAACTACTTTATTAAGTATTAATAAGCAGTAATTAGGAGTATATTGAGGCAAAAGTATAGTTAGTTCATAGTAAATAGTTAGTTAACAGTGAGAATTGGACCCTAATCTAAAGTGTGACCAGAATAATTTAGGTAGTTATCTATTATTTATTTGAAAGAAATAAAAGAACCGTTTCATGTCTGTCCTTGTATCATTCATTAACTTTGATATAGGATTTAGAAAGTAATTAGTAATAAGTAATTAAATACTTTTTGGAAACAGTAATTTGTACAGTAATCTAATTACTTTTTTAGAGTAATTTACCCAATATATATTAATCCAGGATTTTTAATAGATTGTGTCAACACACACTCAAGTGACTGTTGAGGAAAAATCCCTAAGCAAACAATTCATTCAGCATCGTTACATCCCATTCAAGCACACCAAACTTGAATAGCTGTGTTGTAAATCCCAAGCAGCTACCTCCATATTCATCTTGTTACGTACTCTTGTAAATTAGAAAAAAAATGTTTTAGATAGACTACACATTTCTAATAATTATAGCTGAATTTTTAACATTTAAGGGAAATTTGTGGTTTTTATTTAATCTTAAAATATTTATAAAGTATGTAATTGTTATTTTGATATATTGTTAAATAGAAAATTAGGTTTCTTTATGGAGCTGGAAAGTTGGAAAAACACAGTCATGTTTAGTGTATGGACTGATTAACTGATTGTTTTTAATTGTGTTTTATTTGTTAATGATGTTTATTTTTGTAATTTTTTTTTTTTTATTTTAATTTAATTTTTGTAATCTCCCACCACTGACCTCTTCCTTACGTGACCCCTCAGGTATCCTGTCTTGATGAGGTACTGAGGAATGCACAGTTGTCATGGAAACCCAGTCCCAGACCAGTTCTGCAGCAGAGAAGAAGAAGAGAGTGGAGACCATTGTAGCCACCAAGAGCGCGCCCACCCGTGCAGAGATCAGTGAAAAGGCTGTGGCCTCCAGCACTACCTCCAATGGTACAACGTCAACATTTAAACCTCTCTTTTCTTCTGATTACTTGTCAAGCTTTAATTTCTATTCTCTATTGATTCTGTGTGTTTAAATTGTTTAAAAGAGTCATTTTTGTCAATTTTATCAAACATTGCTCTGTTTTGTTGAGAATCTCGACCAACTTGACCAGGAACAGCTGAATCAATGATGTAAGTTGGGGGTGGGGATATCTGTTTGGCTGACCAGTAGCAGTGTGTGGGAAACCTGTTTGAAAACAAGTAATTATTTTTGCGTTTTTGTTATTTGCAAATTCATTCAGATAAAATTAATTCACATTCATTTCAGATATAACTAAGTGCACTTTTACTAACTAGCGATTCACAATTTAACTTTAAAGTGCCTCAAAACTTTCAAGCAGCATCATAATATCATTTTACAGAAATGTTGCACTTTTTCTTGTTCAACAAGCCTGGGTTGTTATCGCTAGTTTGAAGTAGTCTACCAACTCTAACCAGCTTGACCAAGAGGGTCTACCAGGTCAAAAGCAGGCCTACCACCTTGTAGTCTAGTTGATTGTGCATCTAGACCAGCTCTGACCAGCTCTGACTAGCTTGGGCCTACTAGAATCTATCAACCAAAAACTTGGATTCGCTGAAAATCTCATACAGCTTAAAATGGCATTAGCATTAGTGTTGAAACAAACATTTTTCTCCACACAAAAAGTTGCACAAATGGGTGTTTGTCTTGGTTGATTAGTGATCTTATTTTGTTGTACCACTCCATATGAAAGCCTCTGGTGATATGGCAGGAAGTCAGAAAAAGAATGTCCTTTTTTTGTGGAACAGGGCATCGTTAATTGTTGTTATGAGTTCTGCCCCCACCCCCTCTCGCTTTCTCTCTCTCTCACTGTTAGTCATTCCCAGATGGCAAGCTCTCCTTCATTAATTAGAGGTGGGGGGCTTGGGGTTTGGAGGGAATGAACATAGATGGGGGATAAAGCTTTACTGTTGTGGAAAAAGTATGGATGTAATTTGGCTTACTGATTGTGGATTTTTCTCTGTAAGGCGAGGGTAATTACTCCTCTGAACAACATAAGGTTTGTCTTGGAAAGTTTGCTGCAGTGCTCATCTAGCCAGGATTCAGTCCCACACTCAGGGTTAGAGACCCAGGGGTTCACTTTTAAATGAATGCATTTTTTCCATACATTGTTTTTTAAACTTTGCAAAATCCTGAAATATTCTTTATTTTAATGTTTAAATTAGATTTTGAATAACAGATTTACAGTGTGACCCTACTGAACACCACTGTATGTGTGTGTGACAGGGCCAACTGTGCATTAAAACTGTTCAGTTTAATCACTGTTCTATATCAACACACTGCTTTAATTGACACTGCACACAGAGATTGGAGATCGCGCTACACACACACACACACACACAAAAAGATCCAGAAGCACAGAAACTTGTTTTCAACGCTGCCCCACGACTTTTATTAATAAAACAGCTTCGATACTGAATCGCTTCATTATATTTCTCAACAATGAGGGGGTAAAAAAATGCTGTTTTTGAAGTAACTAACCTCAGCTCAGCTTCATTGTTATTCACACACACAACTGTCATTCTCTCTCTCTCTCTCTCTCTCTCTTTCTCTCTCTCTTTCTGTCTCTCAAAATGGCCATGACTGAGAAAAAAAGTCAAGTAGTTTGCGTCACTGGATATAGCTGTCGGTCATTCAACATTTCTATCATGATTGGAGATCGCGCTACACACACACACACACACAAAAAGATCCAGAAGCACAGAAACTTGTTTTCAACGCTGCCCCACGACTTTTATTAATAAAACAGCTTCGATACTGAATCGCTTCATTATATTTCTCAACAATGAGGGGGTAAAAAAATGCTGTTTTTGAAGTAACTAACCTCAGCTCAGCTTCATTGTTATTCACACACACAACTGTCATTCTCTCTCTCTCTCTCTCTCTCTCTCTCTCTCTCTTTCTCTCTCTCTTTCTGTCTCTCAAAATGGCCATGACTGAGAAAAAAAGTCAAGTAGTTTGCGTCACTGGATATAGCTGTCGGTCATTCAACATTTCTATCATAAAATGATTTGCATTTTCTGGAATTCACGCTCTGCTTCTGTGAACATTAAACCCTACCTAATTTGATTTGATTGGCCAGCTCAGTTATTTTTACATTGACTAGCACTGTTAGACCACTGAAGCAAATCAGGTTGCGAATGTAACTTTAAAAGCTTTTTGTCATCCTAAGAAACAGAGCGCTGCGTAATGAAACATGACTGAAGCTAAACGAACTTAACCTATGCAAAAGCACAGCGCAGCATTGGTCTGAATCGCCTCATATGCGCAGCGGTCACGCGAACGGTTTTCCAGAGCCACGCGCATCTGTAGACTAGCACAGGTTAATTCTCACGCTTTAATAGTATTTATAACTCCGAACAAGCTGTGTAACTATGAGGAATGACTACCTCAAAATGTACGTCAGTATGTTGTTTTCACTATTATTCGCGTGCCAGTGATTATCCCTCTGCATGCCAAAGTTGTTGCCGACCCCTGGTGTAATCTATTGACTACATACATCATAATCCCGTTTTTTTAGGCAAGTACCAGAATTTAATAAAAACATTTTAAGTTACTAATTATAACGCTTTGATTTCCACGGTTATTCAAACAGAGAATAAATTATATACAGAAAGAAAGCAACGAAAGTCTAGTGCAAACATTTAGTCTTAATTTGCAATCTGTGGCCAGAGGAAGGCTAAACCTTGCCCATCCTTACACATGCTCCATACTTTCAGGTATCCTACAATCCTGGCAAAGACCTTTATGCTTTATGATGTGTTTGCACTATTACTGAGCAAACTGTTTGTAGAATTTGTCCTCAAGGCAGAGTGTGATGGAAAATCTAACAAAATTAACATTTCAATGGTGGGTCAGGTATATATATATATATTATCATTTTCATAAGCTCTGATTCCAGTAAGCTGTCCTGACCACAAGCTCTCAACAGAACCATAATGAGCCATCTATCACAACAGACCCTAGACCTGCTCCCCGAAGGGTCTTACCACAGCCATTAGATAGCTTACACATTCCTGGTGTGGTTATAATTCCCCTGCATTCTCTTGGTCTTCCAATACTCATAACCTCTTATCTGATGTAACCTAAACCCCAGTCAACTTTAACCCATGTCGCCCGGGCCGCCCCCTCAAGACTAACAAAAGGCAATTGTGAAAGGCCCTTCGGTGGTAGCAGCCAACTGTCCCGCCTCTTTTACAGACCCTGGATTGGCTAAATGCTTAAACTGATCCTAGATCAGTCCAGGCATGTCCGGAGGATCTGCAGAAGGGGAAACCCCAAATAGTACAGTGAGAATGTGGAGTTGGAGTTTAGAAAAAGAATGAAATACAATCTTGAATGATTTTGAGAAAGAGTAGCTTGTAGGGAGTAAAGAAATCCAAGTTTAATTTTAAGAGAGAAAAGATCACTGAGATATTTTTAATTAATGAAAGATTTGTAGTTTAGAATTTTTTTAGGGATGTAAATAGATTAAAAAATATAACTAATCATACATAATCCTTTTTTTCACAAATCATTTATATATTAATTATTAACATATTTACACATTGCATACATCATATTAATTTAGAATCAACAAAGGAAATACTGAATAATAAAATAATTGGTAACACTTTATTTTGATAGTCCACTTTAGACATTCTATTAACAGTAAGTAACTTTGCAACTACATGTCAACTAGCAGTTAGTAGAGTATTAGTAGACTGTCTGCTTAATATCTTCTAACACTTTCTTTGTCAACTTATTCTACTAACCCTAAACCTACCCTAACAGTCTACTCTGAGAGTTAGTAGACATGTAGATGCAAATTAATGAGAATTAGTTGACATGTAGTTGACATGTAGTTACAAAGTTACTTATAGTTAGTAGAATGTCTAAAGTGGACTATCAAAATAACAAATTACCAAATAATTATTACTATTATTTGATTATGCATAACAGTTTTATTATTATTGTTATTATTATGTGTTTATTTATAAATAATTATATTATATATAACAATGGTTTATTCTTTATAATTTATATATATAAATAATTAAATATAAATAGTTTTTATATATTTGCATAATGACATTTTTTTTTTTTACAAATCTTTTTATCAGATTATTCTGATAAATGCACGTGCCAGTATGTGAAAGACTTAAAATGCATGAAAATGTCTATTTTCCCATTTCCTTCCCCTTTATCTTAATACTTTTATTCCTTTCCACTTTCTCTCACCACACAGCGTAAAAGTTTATGTAAAAGTTTAGCTGCAGTCTGTAATTGTCCAGGCTTGGTGGGGAGCATTCCCACATGGTTAGCTAAAGACTGGCGTAGGCCTGCAAAGCATTCATCTGTGGACCGGCTCCCCCAGCCTGACAGCTCAAAGGAACCGACTGTGCCACCACAATGGCCTGATTGGTCCTCTTTGGTAGGAGCAAAGGGAAGGGGGCTTCCCTCCTCCTCAACTCACATCATTTGCTAGGCAGGTGGACCACAAAGTCCTCTGATTCTATTGTTGCTGCCTGGACCATGCGAGGGAGAGAGAGAAAAAGAAAAAGAAAGAGAGAGAGATGTTCGTGTGCATCAACTGAATGAACCTGTTCGTCATGGGATAATTTGTTAGTTAAAAAGGAGAAAGGGGCAAAAAGGCACCTGCCGTTCAGAGTGAGAGAGAGGACAGAGGGACATAGAGAATGAGAGTGCAAAATAGTTTTGGTGTTTTTGGTTTGCCATACTGTTTCATGGATGCCAGAGTGATGAAATGAACAAGAACGAAGGAAGCATAAAGAATCGAGGAAGGGAAGTGAAGAAAGCAAGGACAAACAGAGGACAAAAGGAGGGAAAACTTTGTCAGGCAAATTGTTTCCACTCATGTTTTCAATAACTTGAGAAGTGTTCAGTGTAAACCATGGGGGAAGCCTGGGGAAGCCTCTTTGAAACTTGT